TACCATGCTCTATCAAGTTGCAGAATGTTCTATTTTGGCTCTATTTCATATGGCTCTGCTCAATAAAACGACATCAGGTACCTCATATTTCAAAGTGTTCTTTATATCATCAACCTTAGGAGAAAAGCTTTTTTCAGAAAACTGGTCTAAAATTTCTAACAGTTACCTCTTAATCCTAAATCTTTTAAACTGTTGCCTCACCTCTTTTCATTATAAGGTGCTCAATTGAAACCACTAAAATTAATGTACTATATCTAACTTTAACTAAGCTTATTTGAAGTATTTCAAACATATACTTCCTTCAAGCTTTCTTCCATGCCAATATCAAGAAAATACAAATCCTTTAAGCAAGGTAATAGAACTCACATGGGATATAGGTTATCTCACTTGTTTCTTTTATTTCTTACCTTCATTGGAAGCTTTTGGCATAAAAATGAATGCTTACCCATTACTGTCAAGTACCTGTCTTATTGCTGCATGCTCTTGTCATAAATCACAGGTATCCTGCTTTCAAGCTGCCTGAGTATCTAATGATAACATCTTATCAAACAAGCAAAACGCGGGCAGTTTAACTGGGGATAAATGAATGTCAGGGACCAGTAAATCCAGGAGTCTTACCATTGCAAAAATCAAAAGGTACAGAGAAGAGAAAAGCACCCCACCAGCCTAATTTCAGGGAATCCTCCAATTTCGAAATTCATAAAAGAGCAAGGGCTACCCAGGGGTCTCTTACAGGAGAGAAAGTGATGTAGACTCACACAAATCCTAAGGCCAAAAACTGGCCCAAGCATCGAATGCTTTCAATTTCACCCTTTCAAAGGGCAAGGGAAACCTTCCTAGAAAAAAGTACAAAGCCTCGTATAGAATACGTGGTCATGTCAGGGAATCCCCCAGCCTCTAGGTGTAAAAATTAAGTTATAACACATTTTTTTTATTGTTATGTTAGTCACCATACAGTACATCATTCGTTTTTGATGTACTGTTCCATGATTCATTGTGTGTATATAACACCCAGTGCTCCATGTAATACATGCCTCCTTAATACCCATCACCAGGCTAACCCATTCCCCCACCCCTCTCCCTTCTAAAACCCTCAGATTTTTTTCCAGAGTCCATAGTCTCTCATGGTTCATCTCCCCTTGTGATTCCCCCCGCCTGCATTTTTCCCTTCCCTCTCCTAATGTCCTCCATCCTATTCCTTATATACCACAAATAAGTGAAACCATTTAAGTTGGGGGTAAGTATTCTCAATGTTAAACCCTATTTTCCCACGAGATATGATTTTTTTTCCAATTTTTATTAAGATAAAAAGGGGGAAAGAGTTAAAGTTTCTTTTCTGTTTGACACATTGCCTTTCCCCTCCAGCATCAAGTTTAACATCACATCTATTTATTGTCACAGGTGCAATCTTTCTAAAAGGACCATGGTTATCAGCATAAAGTTTGGAATGGCTATTTTAGGGTTTCTTCTTTGGACCTTATAAAGGACTAACAACTAACATGGGATTAAACACCCAATACTCATCTAAATTCTACTAAGACTTTCAAGAGGGATTGATTTGGCAAACATTGGAACATTTTTGATAGTGAATATACATTCGAGTTTTTTCACATGAAGACGTTGCCTCATTAATCATGAACTCTCTGGGCACAGAGGTCATTTATCACTATTCTCAGTGACCATATTTCCTAATACTCATGACTGACACTAATGATGTATTAGATATATGAATAAATGAATGAAATGGGTGAATCAATCAATCATTCAATAATCTATTACCAAAGTTGATCGATCTTCTTTACTTCTAGGCTCACTAATTTTTAGTTGAATCTAATTTTTCAGTATTACTACTGACCTCTAAGGCAGTTAAGGTCAAGCTAAATGGCATACTAAAAGAAAGAGAACAGTGACCTTGACATACTTAGAAAACTAACAGTAGCAGCAGATACTAATTGATTTGGGACAGAGTCTGGAATGAACTTTGGAAATCAGGAATGCCAATAATGAGAAATGCTGTATCAGGAACTTGGGGCAAACAAAGGATGTCTTCAAGTCTGTCAGTTTCTCCAGAAAATGGTCTTTAGAAAATGAAACATCTGAAAAGATGCCTTACAGTGGCCAACATCTATTATATATCTTACTTATTACCATAGATAAGTAGCCACTTAGAGGAAGAAGTCTTTGCCAATAAAGAAATGACAGAGATTGGAGGTGGGGATCTGATCTATCTTGGAGAGCAAAGAGCACCTTTGGCCTAACACGCTTACCTTCAGGACACCAAGGTAAATATCAGAGATCCAACTTACTATGCAAGCATCTAATGGAGGTCCTGGGATCTGGTCCAGAGGAGAAATGGCAGGGAGCATGCTCGTCTCTTAGCTCTCTGCACTCCCATCCATATTCCAGACTATAAAATCCTACCCTAGTCCGCTCACTGCATGTTAACATGAGTTAACTCCAGTAGCTCCTTGTGGCTTGCAAAAACACTCCACACACACTATTCTGGAAATCAAGCAACTTTTTCTTATTGCACTTTGCTTGTCCTTCCATCACAGCACTTAGTACAGATGTGCTTAATCTCATCATGTTTTTGAGACTACTTTCCCCAACACACTCCGTACTGTTGGGGGAAAAAGGGTTATTTTAATAAACAGCTCCTGTTAAAGGAAACAAAATCTGTTGAGAATCTATTAAGTGTAAGTCACTACGTATTCATTAGCACCATTCACCAAATATTTCTGGTTTTCTAAACCTTCTAGGCACAAAGTAGAACTGCATTTCTTCATTCCCTTGTAGTTGGCTGGGTACCGGTGACTAGCTCTAGTCAACGAGCAGAGTGTGGAAAGGGTATGTGTCACTCTCTGATAACAACACTGAATGACTGTTTCAAGACCCTCCAGACTCTTTCACATCTTGGTGACTGGCAATGTTCATAATACTGACTATTCTATCTGCTTGCACCCCACAGTAATTATGATGAGCAAAGCACCCTTCTTGTTGACCAGTGAAAGACAAACAAAACCTTGTTATTTTAAGTTAGTCATATTTGGGGTTGTTACTGCAGTACATCCTATCCTGACTGATGAAAGTGCCTGCAAGTGCCAAGATAAATGTTTTCATATATACAATCTGATGTTCATAATAACCTAAGAGCTACATATAACAGGTATAGCAGACACAGCAGATATGAGCTGTATTTTATAAATGAAATTTAGAGAAGTAAATAGCCCAAGGCCAAATAGTTTTGTTCATTCCTTCATTCAATAAATATTTGTCGAGCACAGCACTCTGCCAGGCTATGTTCTCCACAACCCCAGCTCCTCCAACTAGGTTATGTTTTAAGTAGCAAAGATAGGTAACAAAAGAGAAAAGGTCCCAGCTCTCAGATCTTACATTCTAATAGAGATAAAATTTTTGAAAATCACATATAAAAAATAAAAACTCTACATGGTAATAAGTGATAGTCAGAAAATTAAAATCAGGTGATAGGATAATGGGTAGCTAATTATATAAATCAGAGAAAGTCTCCCTGAGCCTCTGTTTTTGCAGGGGGGATGCTTGGGTACCCACTGACACCCACATCCTTGTCTTTTACTCCAATAATACAGTTTGCTTTCTCAAAGTGATTCTATAAATAATACATTTTCCATCTCGTTCCATATATAAACCAGCAGGCAGGGCACCTATCCTTAAGAGGCTTTCAACAAGCACGGAGCTCCGATCTTGCTTCCTTTGTGAAAAAGTAAAGCAGAGGTGGTATTCTGCTATGATTTCAACAAGGCCTTTCTACACAGCAGGGCCTTAATCAAGGTTTACAGAGTTGCATGATATGTGCTGTGGTTAGGAGGATATTCACTGGTTCCTTCTAATCTTAGGGTTAAGGTAAATCATAAGAAGAAACAATCATACAAAACATCAGATTTTTAGATTGTTTGTTTATAGGTCCAAAAGAGTTTTGCATCCCCTTTAAAATGTTTAGCTCTCAGTATGCTGTGTTGATGCAATCTCTTTTTTCTCTGGGAATTTTAGTTATACTACATGAAAGATAAAGGAGATTGGCCATCTGTGGCCATCAGAAACCTGTATTAATCTCATATCACCAGCTCCTTAGTCAAAAAATAATAACATAAATACACATCAATGGGAAAGGTTATTTGGACATAGAAACATGCTCCCTAACTTTTGCAATTTTTTGCACTTCTGTAAAGGTCATTGGGAATAAAATACACCTAAGAGTGGCAGTCCATTCTGAGTGAAAAATTCAGTTTATAGGCCACTGTTAATCGAACAAAAAAAAAAGATGCAGGAGTCAGGGAAAGGTACAAAACGACTGAAATTCTGTGTTCGAGGGGCACTTTTCTTATAGATTACAGGTTGGTCATTTAAAGACATTTGACCAAAAGAAAAAAAGACTCAGAACTTTCTATCATCCTTAACCAATTTACTATTCATACCTCCATATATATATAATTGGAAGTATATTGGAACCCCCAAACCAAATGCCCCACAAAGCCAGCGTTGCTCACACGAAGGCACCGCCCATATCCCTAGAATGCCAGTTTAGTGCTGAGAGCCCTGCCATATAGGGGAAACTGACCATCAGCATATGTCAATCCAGAGTCTTGACTGGCTCCCATACATGCCCAATTCCTGCCCACCAGGTACTCCACTGCCCCTCTAAATTTAATCCTTGTCTTTCCCAATGGGAACAAAGTACATTTTCTTATATACAAAAACATTTCAGCATGAGAGAAGAAAAAGAGTTTGATACTTTTCCATTCTTAAAACTGATATCTCTAAGTCCACTGGGAGTAGAAATAAATTACGCAGGCAAAATTTCTTTTACAACGTTTTTCTCCAAAGGGGAGGGTGAAACAGTGCAAGAGAAAAACTAGCTGGGTTACAGTACTATCTAGTACACTTAGAGTTAAATTTAACAGCACACATATGGTAGAGAGAAGGACTGAATCAGAAAAACAGTGTTGCTTCTTCATGCTCACCTGTGCAAGAGAAGTCATCCACTCGGATGTAGCCTGGGACACAGTCACAGCGATATAACCCAGCCAAGTTCACACATACAGTATTGGCATGACAGTAATGCATCTTAGCTGCACACTCATCAATATCTGAAGGAGAACAAAAGAAGCAACAACGCAGTTAGGTGAATGAACTTTATTTAGTGTGCTCATCTTACAATGAAATTTAAAAAGGCAAATGCCCATCAAAGCTAAAAGAAAAAGATGCAGTAAACACAAAACTTAAATGCAAATTCAACTGCATTCCGGCTCATTAGATCCCATCTTGAGCTGAAAGTATTTCGAGAAAGATGCACGATGAGATGTTAACAGTTAAGAAACCAAGAAGTACGAAGAGTGAATCTGCTATTCAATCTTAGTCTATTAGTCTCTCACCAAGAAGGATGCTGGATTTAAACATCCAAAATCAAAGAGTTCTGTGTCCAGTGAGTTGATACCAATTAATATTTATTAGGTGTCCACTGTACATGGTGTAGCTTTTATCAGAGAGATCAAGGGGATCCAGGCCTCTCTGCTCAGGTGTCTTACTAAGACCCGCTTTAATCCATCTGTTAAAAAATGATGGCGCAGCCAGTTTCTCCCATGTTGTATTGTGAATACAGACAACAGCTGTTGTCTAATGCAAACTGACATCTTTCATTCCTTGACCTGGAGATCCTTCCCATGTGACAGAATAATGGGCTGATTGAACAAAAAGATCTTTTTCTCTCTGAAATGGAGGTCAGAGCATCACCAGCTTCCTCATAAGCATTCATGGTAAGAACTGAAATAACCTACAACCTTAAGTACAGACTTTAGTCTTTCTGGAAGTTGTTTTCAGAAATGCCTTAGATGTTCATTTTACTCAGAGTGCTTATGGAGATGGAGAGGAAAGGATCACAGCACAGCATAAGGACCTAACACAATGAGAGTTCTGGTTCTTCCAGTTACTAGCCTGTGACATGCATTTAACCATGCTGAGTCCCAAGGTTCTCATCAGTTTGTCATACAGGCCAGTTCTAAACCTACTGCTTTACATCAAATTATCTAATGTAATTCACATACAATTCCATGATCCAAGTACACGCAGCACTACTGACATTTTGAAGTCTAGAAGATTGAGGCTTAGAGAAGTTAAATATCTGGCACAAAGTCATCCTGTTAGAACATGCTATACCCAGGATTTGAACTCAGAAGTCAATCTCTTATTTACTATGATTTACTTCATGAAAGCACCTTGAAAATGACAGTCAACCATAGTGTTACTATTAAGGTAAACACCAAAGTCCTAAGGCACTTCATGTGTAGAAACAGAGGATAAAAACAGCTATATTGGGGCACTAGGAATCTCACTTATCTATATAAAAGTACAAGTGGATTGACTTATTTCTTAATAAAACACACTTAAATAATATCAGATTCTTTTCAGCACTAAAGATCTGTCAGCCCATAAATAAAAGTTACTGAGGAGTAACTGAGGTCCTAGAAAGACACACAGTTAGCAAGACTTGCTTAACTGTAAGTGCAAAACACCAGAAATCACTGAAATGCTTCAGGCAATAAAGTGTTCTACTTATACAAGATCATGTTCTTCCAAAAATGATCCAAGACAATGCACAATTAAAATAAATGGACAGCCGAATATAAAAACTATATAAGATTCTATCAAGCTGGGGTATGAAGGGAACTCTCCCACGAATTTAAAACAGAATAGTAACCGAGCATGAGGTGTAGTTCAGATCTTTCTGGCACCCAGAGCATTAGAATTCTTTAACAAGTCGATACCTGACATCATTTAAGCATTTTCCTTCACAGAACAGTGGTATCACAAAAGTCGAGAGGAAAAGGGTTTCAGGAAAGGAGTAATGATCACTTTTGTCATCGGCTAAGAAGCTGAATAAGATCAAGACATCATTAACCACTGGATTGGGCATGAAGCAGTTCACAGTGACCTTGACCGAGGAAGAGTAGATTTGGGAAGGTGGTGGAGAAAAGCCTGACTTGAGTCAATTAAAGACGGGATGGAAGAGGAGGGAACAGAGACAGAAAAACAAGGCAAACCTTTTGAGATTTTTTTTCCCCATAAAGAAAAATGGGGTAGTAGTTCTGGAGAGACTTGGTGTCGAGAGTGTCTTATTTCAGGATGGGAGAGATAACAGCACGTTTGTACACTTTGGGGAAGGATTCGATACGAGTGAAGCGACCTGATGATATAGAAGAAAGAGATCATTGCAGGAGCCAAATCCTGGGGGGAAGCAGTACACAGATGGAACAAGTCATCTCTACAACAAGAACAAAGCCGAGATAAGAGAAGACATGGAGATGCGTTGGCATAGTTGGTGGTAAGATGAAGTCACTCTCCTTTGCTTATTTTTATTTTCTCAGTTAAATGAAAAGAGAGGGTAACGTCTGAGATTTAAGAAAGGGAGGAGGTATCAGATATTTAAGGAGGGGGATAAGGTATTAAATAGTCATGTTGATAAAAGAGAACAAACATTTACTCAGAGCATGTAGTACGGTGGCTGAGGAGCTGCTGTGATTTGTGATCACGAATGAGTTAAGTGAGAGAAGTCAGCATGGCCCTGGGTTTTTCTCCAATTTCATTCAGGTATTTGGGGGCAGTAGAAGGGTGTAACCAGAGATGAATTCTTATGCAGATATAATGAGTAAACAGAGATACAGGGGAATTGAGGGTCTAAAGAAAGAGATGATGATGATGATGAGGTGCCAAGGAATCTCGGCTAATGAGGAGAGATGTGAGGACATGAAGATGGAGATAGACAGCTGAAATGGACTAGGTATTAGGGGTGGGCACTCTGCTGTACCTCTCAGATCTCACTTCAGAACTAAAGAACTTAATCCGCCAGCTAATGGGAGTATTGCCTGCTAACAATCATCAGCTGTTATCCTTTTAGAGAAACTGTCCTTGGCTAATGAGAGATAATACAGTCAGTCACACTTTCATCCTGGGAGTGAGCTACAACAAAGACTGCTTCTCATTTACCCCAGCTCAATTCTAAGGGACCATCCAGATTTCAGAGCACTCAGTGAGATTGAGTTAACTTCTCTCTCTGTCCAGTCCTGCATTCTTCCCTTCCTTAGAGGCCTTCATCCCAAGAGCACTCCCTAATAAACTTCCTGCATGCCAGCTTCCATCTCAGAGTTTGCTTCTTAGGGAACCCAAACTGCAGTTTCCATGAGGGTACTAGAATGCATGAGCTAGAAAGCGAGGAGACGGGGTTATAAAGTGTGTGCTTGACATTAATATTTTGGAGCTGATTCAGTTATTGTTGATTTTAAGGTCTTTTGTGCAACGATGGGGGAGTGGAAGAATAGATCATTGTAAGTGAGAGGCTGGGAATAAATACCAAGAGAAGCCAGGCATTGGAGGGAGTTGGTTGGCATTAGTGTTGTTCCTCAAACATTACCAGTTTTCCTATTCCTGGGTACATCATACAAATGTACTTCCCCATCCTCTTTGAAGTTAAGCATAGCTATATGACTGGGCATGATGTCTGAGCAAAGCATACCACCTCTAGGGGGAAAGATTAAGAGCCAGCACCTGGCTTACCACATTTTCCTGTCCCTGCTTTGGAAATCATGGAAGCACAGAGATGGAGACATTCTCAGCCTGGGTCCCTGAGTGAGGAGTAGGCAACCAGATAAGCCTGATCAACATGTTGCATGAGCTACAAATATGCTTTTGTTCATTTAAGCCATTGAGCCCACCCTGGCTGGTAGAAAGGTGACTAGGAAAGGTATCTAAAAGAAAGAGATCATTAAGCTTGATCTTAAAAGATGCACAGAAATTCACCAAGTAGAGACCGGAGGTGGGGAAGAGTAAGGGAAACTCCAGAGGCTAAACTTGTTGTCTCTGTAGAGTTACGAAGGGAGAGAATCACTGAGTCATGAACATTAATTAGCCTTCTACTAGGCCCTGAAGCAGAGGATGAACAAAATGCCACCATAAACCTCACATCACAGCCTGGCAAGACATTGGGCGAAACTTGTAAGTTCTACCAAGAACGGAGACCTTTTAACAGGGGGATTGGATGTGGTCCGAGAGGGCCAGAGTAGCAGTCTCTATGGGCATGATGTTTCACTGAAGACCTAAAACAGAAGTGAAACAGGTGAAGGGGAGAGGAATAACATACCAGACAGAGAAGAATGTTGGAGAAGAATTAGGGGAAGGAGCTTTGTCTATTTAAAGTGAAACTGGCAAGATAAACTCAGGCCAGATCCTGCTGAGCCTTGTGGGCCACAGGAAGGAGTCTAGATGTTAATCAAGGCAGGGGCACAAACCAATTCGTTTTTAAAATACCACTCAGCTGTAGTGAAGAGAATGGACTGGAGCTGGCCAAGCTGAAGGCTAAATCACCTTGGTATTTTACTCTCAGAGAGATAGCCACACTGAACTCCATCTCATTCTGCCAGGATGCTCAGACATTCTTTAGGATGAGAAACTAGTCAGGACTTGCCTTAGAGTCAATTCAATCCTCAGCCCATGGGCCACAGCTGCCAACCAGGCTGCTGACTACAATGACTGTTTCCCTGTCATGGACCCTTGTCAGCTCCGCCCAGAGAGAAACTCCTGGCGCATTTCCCTTAGGCCACTGGATAACTGATGAGAGGCATCTGCCTCATCTAGATTTGAAGGAGTTACTCGGCTGTAACAAGTTTATTTTGACTCAAACATCCAAACCATCCCTTTGTTTCAGAGGATTCTAAGACCCTGAATAAAAATATTTTCAAAAACAGGACAAGGGGATGGTTAGAAGATCCCAGAGAGAATTTCTCACATAAATTTCTTCAACTTTTACTCTCTCCAAGTCACAAAGGACCCCATGCCATACATCACCACTGCTCCAGTGAGGTGTCTTTAAGCTGTTTTCATTTTCACTTCATACCCCTGATAATTTCAACTCTTGCAGATCTCATAATTTCCTGGTACCAGTCCAGAAAAAGCACCAAAATAAAGCAGAAAAGTTGACAAACGTACCAGAGAATTAAACTGTTACAACCTTATCTTTGTTGCCTATCCCCCATTATGCAAACACCAGATATAAAAATACCTGATGGTATAACTAACGGCAGAGGGGAGGGAAAAAAAA